AACCAACAAGATATGGATGATACGTTTCAACCACCGTTTAAGAGCTGCGTGACTGATGCGAATGTAGCTAGTGTCATGTGTTCTTACAACCAAGTTAACGGTAAACCGACATGCGCTGATCCTGATCTGCTTTCTGGTGTGATCCGCGGACAATGGAAGTTAAACGGGTAAGGTTGTTTCTCGACCATTTAATTTGATGAAGGGGTTTGTTTTCTGAATCATCGGTTTAGGCTTTTTCGGATTTTTGTTTTGTTAGGTACATTGTTTCAGATTGTGATTCTTTAGAAGTGATGTATACAAACCAACACTATACCAAGACTCCAGCGGAAGCTGTGGCCAAATCTCTATTGGCAGGTTTGGATTTGAACTGTGAGCATTTCACGGATCAACACGCAATGGAAGCGGTCAAGTCCGGTTTGGTAAACGAAGGGGCTGTTAACAAAGCGATTTCAAACAATTTCGCAACTCTGATGCGTTTAGGATTCTTTGACGGTGACCCCAAGAAGCAGCCCTACGGTAATCTTGGTCCTAAAGACGTTTGCACAGTCGAGCACCAAGAACTCGCAAGAGAAGCCGCAAGACAAGGCATTGTCTTGCTCAAGAACTCTCCTGGTTCGCTTCCGTTCTCACCTTCCGCGATCAAAACGTTAGCCGTGATTGGACCAAACGCCAATGTCACCTTAACGATGATCGGAAACTACAATGGTATTTGAAATTAACACAAATTGAAACACAAGTGAAATGTGTGAAACTGAGATTGTTTTTTAATCTTCAGGCATACCGTGCAAGTACACAACACCGCTTCAGGGACTGGCGGAAACGGTATCGCCGACGTACCAGCCCGGATGTTCTGACGTGTTGTGCAAGGAGGCGGATATAGGCTCAGCCGCGGCTCTGGCGGCTTCTGCGGATGCCGTTGTGCTCGTAGTGGGCGCAAATCAATTGATTGAGTGGGAGGACCTTGACCGAGTCGACCTGAATCTCCCAGGAAAACAGCAAGAGCTAGTGACTCAGGTGGCTAAAGCCGCGAAAGGACCGGTGGTGCTAGTCATAATGTCCGGCGGAGGATTCGACATTACATTTGCCAAAAACGACGACAAGATCACAAGCATTATGTGGGTCGGATATCCTGGTGAAGCCGGTGGTCTAGCCATTGCTGACGTCATTTTCGGTCGTTATAATCCGTGTAAGACTCTGTTCTCCGGTTTTAATCGTCCGGTTCGGTTTTCCAATTGTAATTTCGATAACCGGTTATTATTTTTTGTTTTTCCCGGTAGGCGGACACTTGCCGATGACGTGGTATCCTCAGTCGTATGTAGAGAAAGTTCCGATGTCGAATATGAACATGAGACCCGACGAATCAAACGGGTATCCGGGTCGGACTTACCGGTTTTACGCCGGAGAAACCGTATACGCCTTCGGAGACGGGATTACCTACACTCAATTCAACCATCGGCTAATCAAAGCTCCGAAACACGTCTCTCTTCCTCTCGACGAGAGCCACCGTTGCCGATCGTCGGAGTGCCAATCACTGGACGCGATCGGACCGCACTGCGAAAACGCCGTCGAGGGACGATCGGAATTCGAAATCCACCTGAAGGTAAGGAACGCCGGAGACAGAGATGGGAGTCACACGGTGTTTCTGTTCACGACGCCGCCGGCTGTGCACAGATCGCCGATTAAGCATCTTCTAGGGTTCGAGAAGATTCGTCTGGTGAAGAACGAAGAGACGGTGGTTAGGTTTAAGGTCAATGTGTGTAAAGATCTGAGTGTTGTTGATGAAATCGGGAAGAGGAAAATCGCTTTAGGCGAACATCTTCTCCATGTTGGAAACTTGAAACATTCCTTGAACATTAGGGTCTGATGATTTCTATTTGTAATTGGAAAATATTGAAATTGAAATAAAATGGAATTGCAAAAGAAAAAAATGGTGGTTCAACTGGGTACGAACCATCGGACCATAGTGGATCTGAGCAGCGTCGAACCGTGGTCCGTCCACTGCTATGAGCGGGAGGTAGTCGCTGCTCTGTGAAACCAGCCTCACGCATTACCCTCCAACTTTAGGAGCCGCTTGAGCCAAGCCTTCGCGAAGCTCACACGGATCACTCACAGCTTGGACTGGGCAGTCCAGAACCATGCCAACATCAGATCCGATCAGAGGACCGAGCCAGTGTTCCACCATCTTATTGTCCCCACATGGGTCACAAGCTTTTGTTACTTTGCTCGACGTTTAGGAGATGATTTATTGCGATATATAAATAGAAAAATTGTGAGTAGAGAAACCGATGTGGGATACTTGAGATGTTTCATTTGTCCTAAGTTAAGCTATGAATATTAATATCACATTTTAGGTAAAACTATAAGTGAGAAGAAATGCTTTGACTCCACCAAAACCTCAAATTCAAAAACAAAGAAAAACCATTGTAAGTAAAATGTAGTTAATGATAAAAATTAACAAAACATATCATAGAAATTTGTGATTTTATGGGAAAGAGTAGAGATTTCTCCATTTTCTTACTCTATTTATGATTTAACAAAATATGCAAAAAAAAAAAAAATCAAAACCAAACAATGGGAACGAGAAGAAACAGAGCACCCTCCTCTGTTCTGCTATGTTTCTTCCTCTACATCTCTTTCGTCTCCGAGCCTTCAGACGCCCAATCTTCACTAGCGTTTGCCTGCGACATTTCAGGAAACCCTTCTCTCGCCGGTTTTCGGTTCTGCAACACTACCTTAAAGATCGATGCCAGAGTCGCCGATCTCGTCCAGAGACTAACGTTTTTAGGGAGCAGCGGAAATGGTACGAGCCGCTTGGGACATCGGACCAGCCACTAGTTTCACCAAGCTAGTCCCATGCGCCACAAGCATCCCTCAAGTTATTCTCACTGATGCTTCTTTCAATGTCTCTCTGTTCAAGGCCATTGGCAAGGTGCAAGACTAATATAAAAACACATTTCCACTACAACTTTTGCTTTCATTGAATTAACTTTTATTCGATGATTTGGTTTAAGGCTGTATCGACGGAGGCAAGAGCAATGTATAATGTGGAATTAGCCGGGTAATTTTTTAAATATTTCGGAT